TTATTATTATTATTATTTTGTTTTATCACAAACAAAACTTCATCTTCATTTAAAAGAATCGAAAAAGGGAATTAAATTGATGTTTCTAATTTGAAGACAAAAGAAATAAATAAACAGTAAAAATTTCTAGAGGAAGCCCAATCACTGGACGAGGGACCATTAAAGAGCGTGATGGAGGACACTCCCCCCTAAGGAAGACCGTTAAAAATAAATAATAAAATATGTATAAATTTTAAATATTATTTGGATYTCGAAATCTCTATATTTCTTATTTGATTCATTTTAGCCATATATTTACAAACGTCAATTTTGATGATTATACTTATAGCTTCTGTCTATTTTATTTTTAGTCATTATATTTTTAAAATTAACCATTTCGATACACATATTTTTTTAACCTCGTTCAATCACAACTTCAACACGACATTACATTCAATAAATAAATTTATTAAAATACAGTAATATCTTTGTATCAAATAACTTTGGTTGCGTATAAMATTTTCTAAATGCGAATCAAAATGTTCACTTTGAAAATACTAGAACTAAAATAGACGTTTTGAAARTACGCGATTCGAATAGAAGTTAAAATTATAAAAATAATATATTTTAAATGAATGTAAATAAAGAGAAATTAGAAAAAGAAAAAGAAGGTAGGCGCGTGGGAAAGAAACGTGGGGGCTGGTGGTGTACGGTTGTGTAGTCAAAATATAATACCACCACGAATGGGTACCGAGGAGGAGGAGCTTTGAAGGGAGGCAATGTGGGTGTAGATAGCAAGTCCACATCCTTTTTTTTTTCTCTTTTAAATGAAAAATATTATTTTGATGGTGGTTTAAATTTTACCTTTTTTTCATTTTTACTTTTTTATTTTTAAGGTTAAATTGAAATACCTTCCACGCAGTAAATAACAGAGGTTATTATAACATCTCATACTTAAAAGCACGTGCATGAATCGTGTATTTTAGAACTCATTAACGTTTATAAATAGAGAGACGAATTYCTTATGTCAGTATGCAAATTTTATTGAGATAATATTAAGGTAATTATTGATTTGAGGGTTGGAGTTTTTTTCTTTTTATATGTACGGGTCCTTCACCCRCTTCTAGAATTCAACCCAATGAAAATAATTATAATTCGTTCGAAATGATTTGTGAAATTTGATTGTTGTATCTTACGTACTTTTTTTTTATTTAATCATAAAACTTTCAATTTTTGTTATTTAAATGTATGATAGACCAATGTGTAATGATTTTGACACAATTTATGATATGCGACATAAGTAAGTAGGTCGACAAGATAAAGTTAATGACAAGTGGAATTAAGAGTTCGATTTAAAATACATTATTTCGTTTGCCCACCCATTAAATATTTTGGTAACTAAATTACTCTCCGGTCTCTTTTTTTTTCATGTTCGATGAAAAATTAAATTTCATAGAATTAAAATCATAAATCGTTTTCATATGTCGAACTCAAGAGAATGAACAATATAGATATGATAGTGTCATCCTCAGTTTCTCCTTTATGTGAAGAAGAGCAGAAGTTTTCTATAATGGTTATGAAATCTATATGTGAAAAATCATAATTTCTTTGTAATGGATTAAATACCTTTCATCGATCATACAAGTTCACTTGGTAATTTGAYCCCTCGCCAAATTAGAAATTTAACTAATAGTATATACACATCATTTTCTTGATAAATCTACAATTGCTCTCCTATTCCAAAAAATTGACATAATTAGATCACTCTCACTCGTTTAATTAAAAAAGTAAAACACATTAAATAATTACGAGACTTGTATCCTCATGTATTATTAGAATTTTCAAGGATATCAATAATTAAGATATGACATAGATTTATTAGAATCAAAACTTAAGTTTAGAGATAAAATAGATATAATTCATCGAACTAACAACGTCATAGTACGTTTATATTGTGGAGATGGAGGATTGAACTTCCGACTGTTTTGCCTTTATATGAAATATTACCCTCTCTACCCATCACTAATTATTTCTCCAATATTCAGCCTTTAATAAGCTATAAATGCAGCCAGCCCTAAAAGAAAATGGGTAAATTTTCTGTTTATATATGATATAATAATAGATAGTGGGACCATGAAAATTTAATGCCAATAAATAAAAATTAACTTGGAACATTTTGGATGATATAAACGAAGGTAAATATAACAYCAAATTACCTATAATATAATACTCTAACGAAATGGTGATATAAATATTATGAAATATAAAGACCAAGTAATTAAACTTGTTTAAAGCGAGCACAGTTCAATGGAAATTRACATATATCTACAATCAAGAGGTTGTGAGTTCGATCCCTACCTAAAAAAATTGTTCAAATTAAAGTAGTAATTTATAAATTTTGATTATTAATATTTAACTAATTCAAAATGTGTTGGACTAGATTGAGATAGTGTRAAATGAAACTAAACCTAAGCTCTACATGAATATATTTAGTAGTCGCACCAAAGAGAAGAAGTCGAGAGAAGTGACTTTAATTTAGAATATAGTTTCCTGTTCTTATTTATTCAAGACAACCCTTATACTTTACCGATTCTAAGAATTTGTATTTAGTTTAGTGGTAATTGATACGTGTCTCTGAYTAAGAGGTTATGAGTTCGAATCTCTCGTCCCCACTTCTTACACTCAAGGGGAAAAAAATTCTAAACATTAAAATTGTGTGTGTCCAACTATTTAAATTTAGGAGTTCTAAAAATATGAAACGGACAGAAAATGTTGAAGGTTAGAAATAAAAGTTAATTCAATTAACGTTGATGCAAAAAAAAAAATTATGAAATGAAGTCTCGAGGAAAAAAGATC